AACAGAGTCTGGGTGGAGGCCCAGCGGGCGAGGTCCAGTGCGACTCCAGCGCCTTCTTTCTGGCCCCTGCACTGCCAGTGCAAAGGGCTCCAACATAGTCCAAAGCCGAATTCTGTACAGAGTTCAGCCAGGAATAGTGGCAATAGCTCTCAACAACCCTTCCACGCGTCCTTGAAGGGAGACTTGTCCCCCGTGGGCACTCAACATCCTAATCTCTCACCTCTCCTCTCTGTTGGGCAACTAGGCTAATTCTCTCTCTCTCTCTCTCTCTCCACACACACACACACACACACACACACACACACACACACACACACACTCTTTCTCTTACTCTCATACCACTTAAAACTATAAACTTAAGCAACCTCACGGTGAAAAGAACCCAATGCATATTCAATTATAAATAATTTCTATCACTGAATTTTACTTCCAAATTGTATTAAATAAGAATAGGCACGAAGGTCTGGGTACTGCAGGTGCTGTTCTGTGAACTTTACAACATATCAGCAAATCTAATGCTCACAACCACTCCTGTTTATTATTAGCCCCATTTTAGAGAGGAGGAAGCCAATTCAGAGGGCAAGCAACTTGCCCAAAGTAAAACAGCTAGCTAGCGACAAGCTAGTGCTTGAACCCAGGCAGCCTCCAGCTTCAGAGCCTTCCTGCTTACCCTTTATTCCCTGCTGCCTGCCCCAGGAGATACTCACACTTTCCAGTTACAGCTGGTGGGTGTAAAAGATTCTATGTTGTTTTTCTGCCTAGCATAATTTTAAATACACATATGTATCCACAGAATCTATTCAACTCACATTTTAAATAACAATATAATATTCAATCTTGTTAACATGCCAGTTTGTTAGCTAGTCTCACTAAATCTTTCCTCCCCTTTTAACAATTTTTAAATTTGATTTTTATCCCTAGCACCATATGTGGGCAGTACAGCTTAGAGGTGAGTGAGCATTTGGCTACCGGGGTCAGAAAGACCTGTCTTGAATCTCAGTTTACCTCCCACTAGCTGTGTGAACTTGGGTAGGCTGCTTAATTTCACTGTGCCTCAGTTTCCTCTCTACTCTTATGCCTCAATTTCCTCAATTATGAAATGGGGATGATAGTAGAGTTTAACCTCATACATAGAATTGTTGTGCATTATCTAATTTTAACCCTTATATTATGTGCTCAGCACAATTCCAGAGCCACAGGAAATATTCAATAATGTAAGATATTTATGATAATGAAGGATTAAGCCTTCAAGACAAAATTATCTTGTTTTCTTTGGGGTCTTTCATTAGGGATTACTAGATAAAACAGTACAAACAGGTTTAAAGTTCATTACATATTGTCAGAATGTTTGCCAGAAAAAAAAAATCATCAAACCTCTGTTTTTACATGATGTCATCAGCAATGCATGCATGCTCACAGCTTCTACATTCGGTTTTTTGTTTTGTTTTGTTTTGTTTAGAGACAGGGTCCTGCTCTGTCATCCAGGTTGGAATGCAGTGACGTGATCAGAGCTCACTGCAACCTTGAAGTCCTGGGATCAACCAATCCTCCCACCTCAGCCTTGTGAATAGCTAGGACTAATGGTACACACCACCACACCTGGCTAATTTTTAAGATTCTTTTTTTTTTTTTTTTTTTTTTCAAGCCAGGTCTTGCTATATTGCTCAGGCTGGTCTTGAACTCCTGGCCTCAGTGATCCTCCCGCCTTGGCCTCCTGAGTAGCTGGTGGATTTTTAATACCTTAACAAATACATAATGATTCCATACGTTTTATTTTGCTTTTAAATTGTAGGAGAGGCTATATGTTTTTATATGAGATGATCTACTCTGTTATTTCTTTATGGTAAGACCATCATCAAAATTAACGTAATTCAATTCTGATAACCATGGCTTTGTAACGTGCAGAGGCATTAATTTTCTTTTAACCCATCTACTAAACCAAGGGAAACAGCAATGTAGGGAGCACAGAGAACTTTGGGTATGCAGTGACCAATACCTAGGAACCTAGAAATACCCAAGAACAAGCAGCATTAACGCTGCTCAGCTTACTGGGTTTCTTAGAAAATCCCCAAGCATTGGCTGGGTGCAGTGGCTCACACCTATAATCCTAGGACTCTGGGAGGCCAAAGCAAGAGGATTGCTTGAGGCCAGTTTGAGACCAGCCTGAGCAGGGGCAAGAACCCATCTCTACAAAAAAACAGAAAAAATTAGCTGGGTGTGGTGGTGCTCACCTGTAGTCCCAGCTACTTGGGAGGCTGAGGCAGGAGGATTGCTCAAGCCCAGTGAGCTGTGATGACACCACTGCACTCTAGCCAGGGCAACAGAGCAAGACTCTGTATCAAAAAACAAAAAAAAAAAAACAAAAATTTAAGAAAGAAAAAAAGTGCAACTTGACTATTTTTTAAAAGGCTGTTCTCTGTTCTTATCCCCAGGTCCTCTTCTACTTAGGCTGAATTTTAAAGGTATTTATAAATTTCATTGCCATTATGCATACGTTATAGGTGACAATAAATGCTTCACATAGCACCAGTGAAATGATCAGATTGATGGTTGGTCTGAGGAAAAGAGGTCCGGCTTTCATTTAAAGGGTGAGCCAAATTGCCGAACGAAGGCTCAAGCTGTGTAATTTAATGAATACAATGAGATGGCTAGAGCTTGACAGAACTTCTCCTTAAGGAGTCTATTCCATAATGAAAGATAAATCCCCTTTAAAATTCTAATATTAAGGGCCAGGTTTTTTAAACTTTGCTCATAAGCTGAGTCCAAATGGTACATTCAATGTGACATTTATGGGAGTTAATATTATATTTTTATACTTTCACTGACTGGAACATGATTTTGACCCGGACTAAATTTTGTTCAAAAAAATTAGGGTTCGTTTGGCCACTTTCCATTGGAAAGCTTTTAAATTGAGGGCAATTAAATTAAAAGGAGAGAATGGGCTAGTTGGGAACAATTTAAAAACATCACTTTACATGTAACATGATGAGAATCACTTTTAGGCTTTCTCCTTGTCCTCTTATACTCTCTTTGTATTTGCAAAGCAGTTGTGAATTAAGGCTACCCACGGCGATTGTTCATCTATTCATCTACTTACTGATATTTTAAAAATCTCAGTATTAATAGCCATTTTGTTGATCTAAAAAA